CCTGGTTCTCCAGCTCAATGGCCTATCCTACAGCTTTTCATTTGCCAGCCCCAAAACTTCATGAGCCAGTTCCTTAAAAACCAATGTCTCTCGATCCCCCCTCTTAGTAGGATGTGTCCATAAGTGGTGGACAGCCTATGGGTTCTATTTCTCTAGGAGCCCTGACTACTATAAGATTGCTGGGTAACTCCCCAAAAGAATTACGACTTTCCCCCAGAAACATCCATTTTGAGGATGCTGGCTAGAGGTCACTGAGATGAGAGAAGTCAGGGTTATAATCTGCCTCCAAATTGGTCTAAAATTAAAATAACTTCTGGAGGAAAAAACCATGCACAGATCCAACATGACTCAGACACCGAGGGCTTCCGACCTTGGCCAGCAGGCACACATTTGGCAAGTGTCCTTGGTCCCTTCCTAGACCTAAAGGCATCAAAACATCTGTGTTCCCATTAGCAAAGTGCTGACCTGACACATAGCTGTGGCTTGGGAGGAACCAGAGCGAGAGACGGCCCCCCGAGGACTGGAGGGTAACTTGTGGCCACTGGAGGGGTCCGGGCTTTGGCGTTCCCTATGGGGCTCTCAGAAATAGCTGCTGTGCCAAAAGAGCCACCGTGCGGGACTTCAAGCCTGGACATGTGAGAACGAAAGCCTCAAGGACACCCCTGTGGGCCCCTGTGCCCCTAGAGTTTCAGTCCTACCTTTGATGCCTTAAGAGTAGTTCTGGGTCTTGAATTTCCTTTATAAATTGAGCCCAAACCACAAGGAGGCCTGGGTGGGATGGGAGGGCTTGGCAGGGGGTGATTGAACCCGGGGGGTGGGGGGAAACAGGACACACACCTCTTTTGTTTGTCTTTAACCCAATATGAGTTGACTGTTTTATGCATGGTCTAAGACTGGAGGCTGGTTTCATTCTTTTGTTTCTGGCTGTCCATTTTCCCAGCCTACTTACTGACAAGACTCTCCTTTCCCCATTGTACATTCTTGGTTCCTTTGTTGAAAATCAATTGATGGTGTGTGCATAGGTTTATTTCCAGGCTCACAAAGAACGTCTTTGCATAATACTGAACTCTGTTACCATCACCCCAGCAGGGTCAGAAACAGGCACAGCCAAGGCTTTCCAACCTTTCCTCAACAAATCCTCCCACCATGTGTCCCTCTCCCTTCCTGCCTGGCATGCAGCCTTCGTGTGATGGACCTGATGCTTTCAGCTGTAACTGGCAGGATGCCCACATCTTTCTTAACTCTCATGAGCACTGGAGGGGCAGGTGGCTGGTGCCTGTTGTCCATGACATGGGTGCGAAGCAGGACTCCAGGAAGTGCCACTCAAAGCAGAGGACAATTGTTTCAGAAGAACCCTGAGAACTAGAGACAGTTGGCTGTTCACTAGCCAAGTGATCTGGGTCCCATTCCCTCCAGACATGCTCCCCTTCTTTCTGTACTTACTGGGGCCTCCATATATGTTTCCCTTCCTCCATACATGTCCCCCAGGAGCCCTGTGTCACCGGTGCCAGGTCCTGCAGAGGCCTTGTTACTGGTCTCCTCTCTCCTCTTTAAAACTTAGCATCCCTGGTGGCTCAGTGGGTTAAAGCACGGTGCTATGAAGCTATCCGCAGCCACTGCAGCACGAGTTTGATCCTCAGCCAGGGAGGTTCTGACCCACATGGAGCGGCAGACCTCTCCTGTCCCGCCTGCTGCTCCCCTCAGCAGTGTATTTCAGTACATCTGACTGTTCTACTCCCCACTCTGTCTCTGGTGAATCCTCTCATCCCCTGCACCTCTGGCCTGTACACCCGTTCTTGTATGCATAAATAAATAATCTTTAAAAAAAAAAAGAAAACTTAGACTTTTTGTGTACCCAAGGCAACTGCAGCTCTGCAAACCATCTCCCTGAGGTCTGGGCCAGGGCTGGCTGCAAAGGGAGGCCAGCAGCTGCCTGGCACAGTGTGGTGAGGGATGTTTTCTCCCTACTCCTTCCCCACTTCCTGCCTCACTGCCCATGCTCCCAACCTGAAATTTGTATAGGAGTTAGACATCTACATTCTATGGAATGTTTGGCTTGGGTCATAGAACTATCAGCCATAGTGCAGATAAGTAAGACCATCCACCACACAGGTGCGTGAGGAACAAAAGAGACGAGGCATCGGACAGTGTAATGGGGCACGATGGCTGGTGGGGCATACGGGCGCGCTGGGGTGGGAGTCAGCTGGGCTCCCCGCTGGCTCTACAGCTCAGCTCCTATACCCCATGATCTGGGGCAGGTCGCTGGACTGTCAGGTTCTAGATCTTCATCCATGAGATAGAGACAAGCTCAGGCCTTCCTCACAGGCTGCTGCCAGCCAAGTACTCTTAAGATAGCTGTGCGTATGGGAAGACCATCTCGAATGTAATTATATGTAGGCTCCTATAAAAGCATTCCTGTCCCCCCTTTTTTAAAAAAGCAGGGGATGTGTGGCTGTGGGAAATGAGGTAAAAGTGGGATCTCGATGCAGTACTGGGCAGGTAAAGGACTGTGGGAGGTCACTGCCCGGTGCCCCGGAAACTGTGTGGGAAGGACCACAGCGGGGGAGGAAGAAGGGAAGCAAACAAGACTTCTCTTCCCAGCAATTGCAGTTGGGGCTGAGCCCAGTCAGGCCCTGGCTAGGGTGGCAGCCAAGGAACCCCCATGGATTAACGAGTTGCAGGGGCAACTGGGGATTCAGCTTTGTCAAAAGCATCCATTGAATCAGGCCAGTGAGTCATCTGTTTGGTGCGATCTCCAAGGTGCAGGCCTGGCAGCCTCCCTGGGAGCGCGGCGGTGGCTGTTTCCACCCTGGTGGCAGCGCTCCACGGCGAGGCCGGAAGCCACCCAGGCTGCAGAGGCCACGTGCCTCCCCACCACCCCACTGGTTTTTTAGAAGATGTTAAAATTTATAAAATGAATACCAGTTGTATATAGAAAAAATAAGTATGAAAACAAAATGAAAGGACAAGGCAGCTGTAAGCCTCTCCCTTCAGGTAACTCCCAGTATCTTCTTGATGGTCTCCCTTCTTCCATGAAGATCATGAGTCAGGTAAGAAGAGGCCATGGTGAGGTCACTCACAACCCCGTGAGTCCAGAGTCGCTCCCACTGTCAGCTTCCCGCTCCTTCTCATATCTTGGCTCTTCTCAGATCCTGGAGACCCATCACTAAGTCTGACGCTGGATGTTGACTTAAGTGACTATCGTGGAAGCATGAGTCTCCTTGTTCTGTTTTTTGGGTTTTTTTTAAAGATTTATTTATTTATTCATACAGAACTAGGTATAGGCCAGAGATGTGGAAGGTGAGAGGGACAGGGTGGGAAGCAGAACAGGCAGATCGACGAAATACACTGCTGAGGGGAGCAGCGGTGGGTCAGGGTCAGGAGAGGTCTGCCATGCCATGTGGTCTCCTCCGGGGCAGGCAGGGATCGAACTCATGCTGAAGTGGCTTAAGCTTCTTAGTGCAGTGCTTTAACCCGCTGCGCCACCCGGGAGGGCCCTCCTTGTTCTGTTTTTAAAGCTTTTCCAAAATCACCATAACTGGCATCGCTTCTTTGACTCTATTGAGATTCTTTTCTTTTTTGACCTGTTACGTTTTTTTAAGTAGGATCATTGTCATCCCTCTTTGGCCTGTTTTGTATATGTTAGCATCACTCTGCTTTTAAAAATTTTTTAAATGCAAGAAAGAAGAGGTCCCCCGAGCCCCAGGTATCCGAGCATTTAATTGAGAGAATCAGGAGTGCCTTGTGCAGTCAGCGACCGACCGTCCAAGACAACTTTGGGCCCAGCACCCGGAGTCACCACTGCTGCCTTCACTGTGGAAATGGGAGTCTTGTGTTGGTTGAGGGGTGAACTGGGGCTACCATGTGTGTGCTTGGGTCTGTCATCGGGTGGCCTAACACGACAGATGTCACTGTCTAGAGGGAACGCTGGGGCAGTGGACACCTTAGGCGTTCACACTCACATCCTGGGTCCCGACTGAGCACGTGGGAATGAACCCATCACAGAGGGTGGTGCAGGTGGTTTTTCTCTCCCCAGAACTGCCTCAGCAAGCAGCAGCTCCTCACAGCCATCCGCCAGCTCCAGCAGCTGCTCAAGGGCCAGGAGACCCGCTTCGCCGAGGGCATCCGCAACATGAAGAGCCGCCTGGCTGCACTGCAGAGCTCTGTGGCCCAAGTGGGCCCAGAGGCACCCCCAGGTGGGCACCCAGTCAACTTGCTGGTGCCACCCAGCACTCAGACCCTTCCCTGTGGCTTTTCTCCCCCTCCTGACCTGCCCGTGCTTCTTTGTGCCTCACAGTGGGGTCCTTTCCCTGCCTTACTTTCCTTCTGGGCCTGGTTGTTAACACGGGTTGGTGGGGAAGGTAGCACCGTATTCAGAAGGCATCTGCCAGCCCTCCTCTCCCCATCTGAACATCATGCATTTTCTCTTAGACCTTTCATTCTAGGCTGAGTAACGTTCATGCCTGCATGTTATCTTCACAGACTGTTGAAAAGCACCACTTTTAGAGCCAAAGCTAGTGTCTCCTTCCCCAGTCCCTGCCGAGGTAGACCAGTTGGTTCCAGGTTGTTATTATTTATTCATTTATTTTTCCCACTTAATGGGTTCACTTTTTAGAACAGTTTTAAATGTACAGGGAAATGGATCAGAAGGCGCCGAGAGTTCCCACATATAACCTCCTTGAACACACACCGTCCCCCTGGATCAACATTCTTAAGCCAGTGTGGTATGCTTGATGCAGCCCAGGGACTGGCATTGGCTTTAGATTTTCAGGCATGAGAATGACTCCCTCATTAGTGCCAGAGGGGTGGGAGGGAAGGCTGCTGGGCAAGATCTGTTTGTCTAGTGAGGTTACAGTGACCCCTCCCCACCCCCAAATTCCCTCTCCTGAGGATCAAACTCTGAGGACCCTGGTGCTTTTCCTGGCTGTCCGTGCAACAGCTGGCTCACTGTGCAGGCCCAGATGGCCAGCTGCACATGCTCCAGCCGCTCCCCAGGGGGAGGGTATGGTGGGGGCGTGTCCTGCTGACTAAGTCATAAGCCCTTGGAATAGCTGATGTCTTGTCCTCATGTAAGATGAAGCTTGCTGGGAAGGCATTGGATTTCTCACCTTCTCAGAGATCTGGTAGCAAATCCAGTGTCTTAGCACCAAGTTGACTGTCTTGGCACCCCTGGTGCGGAAGTAGACTTAGCCACCAAACTGCCTTGAGCTTTCCAGGGTGCTGTGAGGGTCTAGCCCTCTGTGAGACTCATCACTCCAAACACAAGGCAGGACATCCTTCCTTTATGCTTCAGCCAGGGAAACTGAGGCCAAGAGAAGTGAGTTAGAATTCACTAGATTATCTAGATCTGGTGAATTTCTTTTTCCTGACAGGCTCAAGTTCTCAGTTCCTTTCTGTCTTCATGGGAGGAGAGGTGCCTATAACCCCTTGAAGTTTGAGAGAAGAACCTGCAGGAGATAATTTTAAAAACTGGCCTGCTGGAGTTAGAGGCCTCCAGCCACTCACGTAGCCAGAAGGAAGCTCTTTCTAATTACAGCCTCATCCCCAACTTCAGGGTCTCTTCCCTGAACCATGTGAGACTGTCAGAAATGACCAATTCTCTTTTTGAAAAGATTGTCACCAGACATTGTGTCTCTCATGTGTGGATGTGGGCAGGCAGCTACCAGGATTCCCAGTGCAGTGTGCTGGGGTGGGGGCTGGGAACTCACCTGTGCCTAGGGCGATTGCCCCAGGTCTAACTGCAGCAAGTAAGAAATTTATCTTTTGCTTTTTTTTTTTTTAATGACATTTGCTGGGGATTAAGGAGAAAATTCCTAGTGGGAAATTGGCCTTCCTCTTTCTGACTTTTCTTTAAGGTATCTTCATCCTGTCTCCCCAACTTTGCTTTCCTGGAGACACCACTGACCAGCTTTGGGGCTCATGCAGGCAGTTTCATTCCATTCATGTTCCCAAACTGCTAGGATTGCTTAATTGCTGATCTCATTCCTTACACATTGACCTCACTCCGGAAGGTGCAAGGAGCTCCCCTGTGGCCCTGGAGGCTCACCAGGACGTGTCATGGCGAAATGAGCCCTCCAGGAAGTATGTCCTCCCACTGGGCAGAAGCCTTTGGCTCCCACTGCATCCAGTCTTTAATTCTCCTAGCATTTATGAACATGCACTTTGTGCCGGAACTGTTTAAGGTAGTGCAGTGTGACTTATCTGTGAGTTGCTCCAGCAGGTAGTTTTTCTTCTTTAGGATTCAAAAGTTTTTTCACCCTTGGAGAGACCCCATAACTTTCCCTTTAAAACACCTTCAATCCTTTCAGCATAATAAAGCGGTAAGTTTTTTCTTTTTAAATAATATATATTTTACATTATTTTGTGAGTTTTTCCACCTCAGTTGTAATCCCCGTGGGCTTCCCATCACCAAATCACCCGTGTGCCATCACCATAGTCCAGTGCACTTCCCCTCCCCCCATTTTTGATCCCACTCCACACCTGTAAAATGTCTCTGGTCTATAGTTCATTATTATTATTATTTTCTCCCATGGTCCTTTATACACCTTAAAGCAGTTTAAGTTTTTAAAAGAGCTATTAAGTCATGTATTTTAGGGGCCTGAGGCAGCAGCCGGCAGTGCCCAAGAGCTAGGAGGTAAGCTCACACTCCCTTCACACACCCTTATGACCATGGTCCAGCTACCAGCAGGTGTCCCCAGTAGCCAAGGGGCACTGAGAGCACTTGGCACGGTAGGCTCTTGCCCTTCTCCCCAGGCCAGCCTGCCACCACCGCCCCAGGAAGAACACAGGTGGGATTTGGGGCCAGAGTCATAGTGCCTTGCCTGCTGCCCTCAGGAACCCAGAGGCCTGGTGGGGATGCAGGGATCCCCCACATCAACCTGTGGGCTGATCTCCCATCATGGTGGATGTCCATGACACTGGCACCACAGTAGCCTACAGTTAGAGCAACAGCTTCATTTTCATCAGTTAAAAAACCGAGCAGTATTTCTACAAATGACACTTTATCCTAACGTGTTTTTGGAAGTATTTATGAATTTGCAACTGAGCTAAATCTAAGTCCAGCCTGTGGACACTGTCTCATTAAATAAGTAGTGTCTGGGTGCCAGGCAGCCCCTTGGGGCAGGTAACAGCGCATCACTGTCCTTCAGATAACACAGCTGCTTCTGCCTTCACAGCACAGCCAGGCCAGGCCATCTCTGTCCAACCCCAGCTCCTGCCCTGGCCTGACCCACCTTCACCAGGCCCAGGGTTCTGCTTCCCTCTATGCGCTCACATCGGACTCTGCACCTCAAGCTGCAGCTGACAGCAGTGCTGTCAGGTTGTAAATCCGTCACCCCAAAACTGCTCAAACCCTTCAACAGCCCCACCCACTGCAGCCGCAGGGCCTCCTTGACATTTCTCAGACCCCAACTCAGGACCTTTGCACCTGCGTGTTCCCCGCTGCCCTCCCCAGATCACCTGCATGGTTATGTCATCTCCTTTAGCCCTTTGCGCCAGTGAGGGCCATCCAGACCACTCTGTTCACAAATGTGCCCCTCCCCTGGCACCTCCAGCTCTGTTCCCTGCTTTCATTTCTACATGACGCGATCACTCTATCAGTCTCTGCCATCTGCTTATTGATTTTCACTGTCACCAGTGATAGAGGCTTCCTGAGTGCTGATTTTGTCTGTTTTGGTCCCTGATGTACCCCCAAGACACCTACTATAGTGCCTGGCACATAATAAAAACTCAATAAATACTTATGGCTTTATTCATGTGGCAAGAATTATTTGTTGGGCAATTACTAAGTGCCAGGCACTAGGCTAGTGCCAGGCTTGTGGCAGTGACATGAGACAGCACCCTACCCTCTTACACTCCATTCTGAGGGAGCAGACACACATGGCGAGGAGGAAGCCAAATGAGCCCGGAGGAGGTTTTAGCTAAGCAGGGTATCAGAGAACATAATGGGAGGCCATGGTCTCAAGTGGAGGCTCAAATGAGTGAGAAAGAGCCAAGGTAAGAGGCTCCAGGGAAAGAACATTCCAGGCAGAGAGAAGAGCGAAAGCTCAGAACTAGAGTTAAGATGGAGTCTGGCCTGATCAGGAGATGAAGGAGATGAAGGCAACCTGTGTGGCCAGAGCCCCAGGAAAGCAGAGCGAGCGGGAAGGTGGGGGCACACAGGCCGCAAGCCCCACTCTGACCTCCCTGCTGTGAGGCCTGAAAACACCAGTGTCTCTGAGTCATGGCTCCATGTGGCACAAGCAGGCATCCTATCACCCAGGCCCAGAGTGCCTAAGGATTCAGTGAGCAATGCTTCTACAGTGCCCAGCCCAGGGCACCATGGAGTGGTCACTCAACAGAGCGCCCTGGAAGGTGGGGGCCATGAGACTGATGTCTAAATCGCTGTGCTCCTTCCCTTCCTCCTTATAGTTTCCTGCCCTGCTCTGAATGCTCCTCCTGATGGCAGGAAGTTTGGAAGCAAGTACTTAGTGGATCACGAAGTCCATTTTACCTGCAACCCTGGGTTCCGGCTGGTTGGACCCAGCAGCGTGGTGTGTCTGCCCAATGGCACCTGGACAGGAGAGCAGCCCCGCTGTAGAGGTACAACCCTCCCTCCCCCACCTCCACCCCCACCCCAGGGGTCTGCTGGGTGGAAAGGGAAACTCCTAGGGACATATTCTGCCTGATTTCCTGACCACTCCTCAGTCCCAGAACTGCAGCCAGTGTGTCTGATGGCACCTCTGCGCAGGCCTGGGCTGCCCCCTAGCCACAGGAGCTGACTAAAACACCCTCACAATTCCATCTTGGTTTGTATATGGGGAAACTGAGGCATGAAAGGTGAAGGAACTTGTCCAAGCCTATGCAACTGAGGGCAGGCTGTTGATCCAGACTGGACGCTCCGACTGCAAGGTCTATGTCCCTCAATGCCTCTTTCCACTCTCAGTAATGACTGGCTCTTATTGACCTTGGGACAAGAAACCTTTTGTGGGGTGTGGAGAGGAACAAGAAGGAGGTACTTCAAGAAATGTTCCTCACAGCTGCTCTGTTCGGGTGGCCAGTGCCTGTGTTGACACACCTCAGTGGGAATTTATTTGACTAGTGGATGCTGTTCCCAGTGAGAGTCTAAAAGGGATTGTCTAGAGGGAGAATAGTGCTTCTCTCTTCTATTTAGCGACCAGTTGTGGCATGTGGGTAAGACATAGGCTGGCAATCAGCAGTCCAGTTAACCACCCCCACACTCCACTGGCCCCAGGGTGGTTCTAGATCTTATCAGCCCTACTGCATGCATCCATTTCATGTTCCAAATCAACAGTCTCAAAGTTACAATATATAGAGACCATAGTGGGAATAATTTCTTAATTACAGGGGATTCATTTCAGGACCCAAAGGGTCAATGAAAACTTTGGCAGCACTTTAATAACTTCCCTGCACCCAATCTCCAGTCAATTGCCTGGAAAGATGATGAGCCCAACTTGGCATAAAGGGAAATTACACATAATTACACCATTAAAAAAAAAAACCAGTGGGCAGAGGAAGGTTCCAGAACTCCACAGTGGAAAACAGCCACTTGGTTTCCTGAATCATTTCCCTTTTTCCCTCTTTCTCTGAAAGGCATGTTTTTAAAACGTTTGGAATTGGGGGGAACCATGGCTATCGGCCTCGTCCCTTTGACAGCATGAATAACCAAAGAAAAGTAAATGCTTTTGTCCCTGACCACCATTTTGGGAAAAGAGAGTTTACTTTTTTTTTTTTTGGTCAGTCATCCTATCCCCACTACTTTTTTTTTTTAAAGATTTATTTGTTCATACAGAACTGGGGTACAGGCCAGAGGCTCAGGGGCAGCGAGAAACTTCACCAGAGACAGAGTGGGGAGCAGAACAGGCAGAATGTCGAAGTACACTGCTGAGGGGAGCAGCGGGCGGGTCAGGAGAGGTCTGCCGCGCCATGTGGTCACCTCTGGGGCAGGTGGGAATCAAACTCATGCGGAAGTGGCTTTAGCTTCTCAGTGCTATGCTTTAACCCACTCCACCACCAGGGAGGTCCCTCCCCACTACTTTTTAAACATTCATTTGCTCAACCGATTTTCATCAGCACCAATTCTGGGTTGTGCTGAGGGCCAGGATTCAATGCTACACCTAAGAGATACCATCTAACTTCATGCTCACATACTAAGGTAGAAACAAGCAAAACAGCTAGCTAAATACAGGGGCCTCCCTAGAGGCTCAAGCGGTTAAGTCTCAACACAATGAAGCTATTGGCATCCACTACAGCACGAGTTCCATCCATGGCCAGGGAGGTGACCACATGGTACAGCAGACCGCTCTTGACTCACCTGCTGCTCCCCTTAGCAGTGTATTTCAGTTCATCCACCTGTTCTACTCCCCACTCTGTCTCCAGTGAATCCTCTCACCACCACCACCACCCCATACCTCTGGCCTGTACCCCAGCTCTTGTATGCATAAATAAATAAAATGAATCTTAAAAAAAAAAAAAACAGCTAGTCAAATACAAAGGTAAATGACTTGACCTTTGGGGGGGGCAATACTTTTGGTGGGACAGGGAGAGGAATTACCTAACAAAGGATTAAGAATAAATACCACGGAGATGAGGAATAGTCAAAGGTCTCTCTAAGACAATGACAATCTCAGTGATGCTGAGATTGAAACGATAAACGGGATCTAGTCACGTGACCAAGGTGAATGGGCAGCATGGGAAGATGCCATTCTAGGGAGCGTAACATGTGCCAAGGTCTCAAGGAAGAGAAGAATGTGGCATGCTTGAGGAAATGAAAAATAAGTTATAAAAACTCATCCTAGGAGCAGTGTGTGGATAGACAGTGAGTGAGCAAGGGGTGCGGAGACACACACAGGTCAGGTCGCCAGGCGCCAGAAGGCTGTGCAGACAGTGAGCTGTTAGTTCCAGCACCTGGTGATTGGTTGCCGTGCAGAGAATGAATTAGAAGTAACAATGGTTGTCCAGGGACAAGAGATGGCAGGGGAGAATGAAAGGAAATTGAGAGAGAGAGTTGGTGGAACTGGCTGCTCTCCCATATGGGCTATGAGTGAGGGAGGGAAGTCAAGGCCCCCCAGACTCAGGGTTGGGTGGTAGTGTGTATGATGTCTTTGGAGGACACAATATTAAGGGGAAAGGATGTCCTAAAGGAACTGCAGTTTGTGAACTCCACCCCCTACTGTAGCTTTTTGGATTCCACACCCTACTCCAGTGATTGGAAACTACAACTCCCAGCAGTACTAGGGAGAGAACTGTGAGGACCCCAAGGGCGGAGCTAAGCAGGCATTCTGGGGCTTTGGGGGATAAATAGGGAGCCATTTTCAACAGTTCTGGTGGAGGAAAGACAATGGCTCTCTTGCTCTGCCAACACTCTTGGGACTGTGTGACTGGGAGCTATCAGTTTATTACTAGAGCTCCAAGTCAGCCAAGCTGGTAAGATATTCTAGTTAACCTTTTTTTTTTTTTTTTTAAAGTTTTTTTTATTTATTCATACAGAACTGGGGTACAGGCCAGAGATGCGGAGGGTGAGAGGATTCACCAGAGAGAGTGGGGAGCAGAATAGGCAGATACACTGAAGTACACTGCTGAGGGGAGCAGTGGGCAGGTCAGGAGTGGTCTGCCACACCATGTGGTCACCTCCGGGGCAGGCGGGGATCGAACTCATGCGGAAGTGGCTTTGACTTCTTAGTGCAGTGCTTTAACCCGCTGCGCCACCAGGGAGGGCCAATATTCTAGTTAACCTTTTATCTCTCTCTCTTTCCCTGGGTTGTTCCTTTCCTTTCTCTTCTTTGTAAATAAACCCATTGCCTTTTTGTGTGTGCCTACAGTACAATTAAATTTTAAGTGCACGGCTGAGGGCCCACAGACAGGCAGCACAGTTTATACTGGGGTGCCCTATAACAATAAGACCTAGCTATCAACATACAGAGGTTTCTTCTTAAACAATCTCTGAGTGGTCATTGATCAGAATCCTACTTAAGTAAAGATAAAAGTCAAGTTAAAATGCCTATGGGACATACTAGTAGAGATAATTAATTTAAGCATGGAGACATGAGTTGTACGTATCTAGTTATCAACCCCAGAGCAGCAGAACACAGTGTTAGATGTAGGGTCTGGAGCTCAAGGGTGAAGGCTGGATCAGAGATAAGTAGTTGTGAGCTATTAGCATAGAGAGAGTATCTAAAGTAATGGAAACAATAAAAGTAGTAGGAAGAGAGGCTAGAGACAGAAAATAAGTGACTGAGGATGAAGACCCAAAGGGCTCCTAGATTGAATGAAGGAGAGCAAAGGAGACTGAAGAGGCAGGTGGCAAGTCCCAGGTGGCGGTCAGAAAGGCGTCGGTTTGCATGTTTGCAAGGTTATTTTAGTCAGGATAGAGGACAGCTCCTTTCACTTACCTTGGCTCATCAGGCCTTTCCTCAGAGAATTTCTTGAAAGGGTTTGATTAGAAAAAGCTGCCTTTCGTACCGCAGCCATGTAATAGTTAGAATGACTAGCTGGCTGATGTGCCCAGCAACTGAATGAATGAGCACTTATGTTTAAAGATGATGAATTTTCTTTCAGACTTTTACCTAAGCAGATATATACAAGTATCACATATTCAGGATTATGTGTGTTGTGTTAAATTAACATAAGCAAATCTCCCTTCACTCTTCTTTCTAAATAAAATTTGAATAATATGAGACACTTCCTCAAGAGGACTAGTCTATACTTATTTAATCATTCCTCTACTGCTTCCAGATTTTTCACAATCATAAATAATGCCTAGGCAAGCAATCCTAAAACATTTTCAACATGGAAAATTTCAGGCAGACACACCAGTAAAAAGCACAGCATAATGGCCCCCATGTACTTATAGCCAAGTAATTATCAACACAGCAGCTCCTTATTATCTTACAATATTTAGTCAGGGTGAAAATTTCTCCAATGGTCTCATATTTTTTTTTAATGATTTATTTATTTGTGCATACAGAACTGGGGTACAGGCCAGAGGCTCAAGGGCGGTGAGAGGCTTCACCAGAGACAGAGTGGGGGGCAGAACAGGCAGATCGATGAAGTACACTGCTGAGGGGAGCAGCGGGCGGGTCAGGAGAGGTCTGCCACGTTATGTGGTCACCTCCGGGGCAGGCGGGGATCGAACTCATGAAGAAGTGGCTTTAGCTTCTCAGTGCAGTGCTTTAACCCGCTGCGCCACCAGGGAGGGCCTAGTTTCATATTTTTAACACTGTCTTTGAACCAGGGTTGAAATAAATTCCATATGCCACAAGTGATCGATATGTAATTGTATCTTTTTAAAATCGATAATCTTTGCCAACTCCCCAACCCTGCTGTAAGCCCAGGCTTATTCCTTTGCAGTTTGTTCAAGAAAATGGGCACACACGCCCCCTCCCACCAGGCTCCATATTGTAACTTCTTCCTAATCGAGTCATTTACCACCATCTTCTGATCTCCCCAGTTTTATTTGAGATACAGTTGTCACAGCACTGTGTAAGTTTCAGGTAGATAGCATAACAGTCTGACTTCATGTCAAATGATTATGGGAAATGATTATCACAGTAATCCTTTCATTAACATCTGTCATCTTGTGATGAGAGAACTCTGAGCATGTCTCCTATTACCTCTCCAGCATGCCCTTTGGCAGCGTCAGCGACAGGTGCCAGTGTGTCACCTGTCTATTTGGTCTCTGACCGCTCACTCCAGAAGCTAGATTGGCTTCAGGTGGGTTTTTGTCTTATCTGGGAAGGTATCTGTCTTTCTGTAGGGAAGTCCCGCTGTCTTCTCTCCTTTTGCCAGAGTCCTGGTATTGATGGTCACTGCCATCCTCATGTTGACATCTCTCAAGTCAGCTACAAAAGGAACTCAGGGCAAAGCCTCCGGTTGTTGCTCTTTGAGAAAGGGTGCAGCTTTACCACTGGATGCCCCTTATGTGGGCATAAGAAACCCATCTCATATATTCTTTCCTAGATTGACTTTTTTTTTTAAGGTAACATCGCATTATAACATATATAAGTTTTAAATGTATGCCATTATAAACCAACATGAGTATCTTAATATGTCTCTGTTTTCTGTTTTAACTGATATCGTTGTTGGCATAATAAGCATCTAGGTCTTTTCACCCAGATGTCCAGAGGATTTTTTCCCCCATTTCTTTATAACTGAATAATTGTATGAGGATCTACCTCAGGAGTGGCCTTCTTGAGTCGATTCCCTCAGTTGTGGGGTCACCTTGTCAATAGAAGTTTTAGTCAGAGGGGTCTAGTCTCTGGCCACTCTCAAAAATCCCTAGGACAAAGTTCAACTATCAAGGTCTCTAGTGGAAAGAGGATTCAGACTGAGTCCAACAAAGAAAATTGGTAAATGCATGAGATTCCAGAGAAAGTGGAGCCAGGGAGCCGAGAAGGCACGAGCCACATGAGAAACGTGACAGCAATGACATGACAGGCTAGGATCAGATGTGAGGAGAGCTGTGTGGGCTCTCATATTTTGCCTAAATATGAGTAACAGAAAATAATTTTTGTCAAATCCCATACAAACTGTTATACCAAAACAGAAAATAAAGTCTCTGGAGTGAAGAGATGCCAGAAGACGTGCCCATGAAAACTGTCATCTGATATTTCTAAAGGAGTTGAAAGAAATCTTTTGATGATAAAAACAAAAAGGACCGCTTCAGTAAGAATGAGAAAAGAAACGATTGGAGAAGTGGAATTTTGAAACAAGATGGTTGAACACAGGAAAGAATTAAAATAAAGGAAAAACAACCAGAACCTGTCTGTTAAAACACTCGGCACAGTTCTACGGCGACAATAAGCGCTCACTAAACAGTAGATTAAAACGGAATTCTCCATGGTTTTAGCTGGCAGCCTGTCCCATGGTCTCCACCAGTGCCCTCTTCACAGCCCTGAAGTCTCCATGCACTTGACTGAAAGCCACTTTCCGGGACAGATATGAGCATGATGACTACTAAATGTCACCCAGGACACAGTGGGGCGCCGGGGCTGGGCATCAGGTCGTGGAATGCCATTGACACAGAAAGAGAGTCTGTGTGGAGCTTGTCTAAAAAATCCTGCAACACGATCCAGAAGGGGAGAGAGGGCATGGGGCCCCGGGCACTCGTGTGTGGCTCCTCCACCCCAGAAGCAGGCAGGTGTGGCCTGGCTCAGTGCCTTCCCCTGGAAGCCATGCAGAGAACCATGGTGCAGGTCACCCTGGGGCCAAGCTGAAAGATACCAGTGTTCACCCTCTTTGGCTTTCTGCCCACAACTTCATGGCTGAGTGGCTGTCCAACCTCAGATTACACTGCTGAGCAACAATGGGACCGGACAATGGGTGAAGGAATTCTAAGCACTGTGGCATTTGTGTTCCGTGTCATTCCAGACACATTCCAGGGAATCGGTCATCTGAAAACAGAATGTAAGAGCGGGCCCGGCTGAGGTTACTGAGAAATTGAAAAGGCTCCTTCCCCAGGGATAAGCAGTATTTGGAGCATCTGGGTCCTTTCGTGATTAATAGAATCATGTAAATGACTACGCAACACCCCAATCAAGAGAAGCTGAAGGCGCTGCCTATCCCCCCACAGCCAGGCTGTCGTCCTCAGCACTAGCACCTTTTTCTTCCTCTCGATAGCCATAGCAGGGAGATTCTCTGATGCCAACAAGGAGATGTTGCCAGTGTTCTTTCCCAGGATGCTCTGGGCAAGTCAGTGAATTGACAGACCTCTCTGCTGGAAATGGTCTCTTTTGTGTGTGATAAAACTGGGCTTAAGGAATTCATAAGAAGCAGATGTGGCTGGAAGGTTTTTAAACTGTCTTTTTTCCTAATTAGATATTTATAGTTAGATATTCCCACATTGTGGGAAAATAGAAGAGTGTGAAAGAATTATAAGTAGGCAAAGAAAAATTACCTGTAACCCTACCACACAGAGAATAACCTATTAAACTTCTACATATGTGTCTCTCTATATACATACAGGACTGTTGTGTATATGATTAAGGAACACTTCTCTTTTTCAACATTAAGGAGGGGAAGAATCAAGGAAGGCTTTTCCCTGGTTGCACAGGAAATGTCAAACACAGGAGAGCTTCTGGGTAGGAATGGGGAGAAAGTTGATTTTTCTATCTCTGGATATTCCAAGAGGCTGTTTCTTCTACATCTGACTCCCTTGAATTGGGTACTCATTTGAAATATGTTCCACCTGGATGTGGGCTGATAGAGGTAGGTTCAGGTGGGCTGTGACTTAGGCTGTATGGGCTTGTGCCCACAGTAGCTTCCTGTGGCTCCAGCTACCAGCACTGAAAATTAGAACGTGGTGCCTCTGGGTGGAGCGTGGCCAGGTGATGGGTCAGCTCCCACAGGCAGAGATTCAGGTGGGCACGATTTGTGCCATGGCATGTGGCTTGCTGAATGGAGGACAGGCTGCATGCCAGCCCTCTTGGGCCTTCCTTACTTCATGTGATAGTAGCAGGGGATGGGCAAGGGAGAGCTAGGACATTGGAAGCATCCTACAATGTGAAGAAAGTTAACCCATCCTTGTTTGTTATTTGTTTTAGGATTAGAATTCACAGTCTTGTCTTTGAATTGTTTTCCTTTTCCTAGATATCAGTGAATGCACTAGCCAACCTTGTCAAAATGGTGGGACGTGTACAGAAGGAGTCAACCAGTACAAATGCATTTGTCCTGTAGGGAGGACTGGAAACCGCTGTCAACATCAGGCACAGACAGGTATGTAGTTGTTATGGAACTGGGTGAGGACAAGGGAGAAGACCATGGTAAAGGGTCCCCCTGTTGGGATCTCAGAAAGTCAATGTTTCTCCCATTTTCTGTCCACTGATTCCTCGGGTCCCCTGAGGTGGCTACTGGGGGTGGAGTTAACTCTGTGGGAGTCACAGAGTTTTGATACTTCTTATGGGAGCCAAATGAAAATGGGAGGACTGACTCCCAACCTGAAAAATTCTCCAATTGGGTATTTGACCAGAGAAATTTCCTTGCTGCCATCTTTACTTGATGGACATTACCCCTGCAGACAAAGAAGCAGGTTCATCTTTCAAATGCTCCCATCACATCCTCAAAATTAGTAGCCATTGATACAAGTGCAAGTATCTTCAGCCCTGGTAAACCAGACATTTGACTGGTGATGAGGTTACTGTCCACATCTTAAGGCCCAACATACCTCCAGGCAGAAGGTCTAGAAGTCAAACAGCAGCTGTTTTTGTAGATGCAAGAAAACCTAATAAGAAGGATTAGAGGGTAGTCCGCATATTATGCTGTAACCAATGTTTTTATTATTTAAAAGGGAGCCAAAGTAGGTCCTATTCCTTTGCCAGAGAGCCTGGAGCATCCTGTCAATGTGTGTGCAAAGTCTGTGCTTGGTGCGGGAATTGATAGCATATTCAGAGAGCAAGAGCTTTGCCAAATCTTGATGTCCTTGCACTGAGCCCAGCCCTAGGTCAGTTTAAAATATTACCCCCAAGAGATCTGCTGACGAATCGATCTTGATTCTATTCAGCTGAGTCAGCCTGCTGGCAGCTTTCTCAAAAGGAGGTTGCCATCCAGGGGAGTCCAGAGGCCCCCTGACAATTCCTGTCTCTGGGGCTGCTCTCTGCCGAAACAGATGGCAGGACCTTCTTGGTGGCACCACTGCTTCACCCTCCTTACAAACAAGAAGGAAAAAAAGAAACGGGGCCCCAAGTGTGCTGGTCCCAGTGTTCTAAGCCCCACCTCACCTGAGGGCTTCTCTTCATAGCCAGTCACTCCTCAGGACCAGGAGGATACCAAGTATCCTCATGGTAGAATTAGACTTCAGGAAAAGGAGGGAGGTGGTGAGCAGGTGCATCCAATGGCAACTCCTGTCCTATGGGATCGGTGAAGGGCCCAGCAGAGGCGTGACTCCTGGCTTTCCTGGAGCCCAGCCGGGAGCCTCCTTACTAGCTCTGCTCTATCTTTCCAGCAGCCCCAGGATACTCTGTCTGATTATTACTTTTTTAATCTGTTCCCCTTTTCTTGATTGTTGTTAAATGTGTGTGTGTGTGTGTGTGTATATATATATATATATATATATATATATATATATATATATATGCAACCATCACCACCACCCACCTCCAGAATTCTCTTCATCTTGCGAAAGGGAACTCTGTCCCATTGACACAATCACACACACACACCCCCTCCTCCTTCACGACCCTCCCCCCACCATCACACCAGACCTCTTTCTGATTTACATTATTATATCCAGGCGCGCTCCCCTGCCCTCCCCTTGGACTGGGCACTACACCTTGGGCTGAATTTTTTTTGCTTAATGACCTGTCTTTCCTTTCTCTACTCCAGAGCGACCTCTGAGAAGGGCCGCGCCCCGTCTGGGTTTTCCTCCCGGGCCCTACTTAGGGCTGGCCCCGGCCGGTGCGCCAGGGCCGGGCACTGAGGGTGTCTTCTCCCCGCAGCCGCCCCGGAGGGCAGCGTGGCCGGCGAGCCAGCCTTCAGCCGGGCGCCGCGCTGCGCGCAGGTGGAGCGGGCGCAGCAGTGCAGCTGCGAGGCGGGATTCCACCTGAGCCGCGCCAACGGCCGCGACAGCGTCTGCCAGGGTAGGCGGGCTCGCCGGGACGGGGCCTGGGGCCGCGGGCCGCGAGCCCGGGCAAAAGCTGCCCGAGTTGTGGCTGAGACGAAGCTAGCACGTAGCTAGCAAGGGTCTGAAGAAAGTGGGGCGTAGAGGAAGCAGCGAGGGGGGGACCCCAGGTTCCGGGCAGTCAGATCCTGCGAGCCTGCGCATTCATGGAAGAGAACCTTGTGCCCGCACCTGCCCCGCATCCGGGCTGGAATCCTAAGGGTGGGTGGCAGCGAGGAGCTTGAATCGGCGCGCTGCGCGGGTGTACAGGGCCACGCGGCCAGACCAGGGACGCGCTCCCGCCCTCCGCTCCGCCTAGCTTAGCTGGCCCGCCCTCTCCTGCTCCTCCTTGTGATTACCAAAGTTCTTCCTGGAGCCAAACCTGGGATTCAAACCTGAGTTGGAGGTGTGTTGGTGCTGACAGCATCATTTTGCAAAGGCAGAAAGGACCCTCTTTCTCCGTTCCCCCAAAGATGATTCCCAAAGCGCTAAGACGGGGCATGGCTCACACTTGCCCTCTAGGCTGCTAGTCCTGATCTGCAGCTTTTGCTAGGTCTCCTGTTGGTCTTCAGCTTTAGCCTGGGATGGGGGGGTGAGGAGTGGGGGGAGATTTAAAACAGGGTCTAACACATTAGCTCCCTCTCCTCTGGGAAAATGGGAGCATCCCTGCTGCCCTTCCCGGTACTCTACTGGGACCAGGGCTCTGTCCAGGACTTCTGCCCTGCAGCTTCTGGAGTCAGACTGAGCACTTCTGCCCCCAGATGTGAATGAGTGTGAGCTCTACGGGAAAGAGGGACATCCCCGGCTCTGCATGCACACCTGTGTGAACACCCCAGGCTCCTACCGCTGCGCCTGCCCAAGTGGGTACCGGACCTTGGCTGATGGGAAGAGCTGCGAGGGTGAGTGAGACTGTCTCAGAGGCAGGTGGCTTTGGGGCTGGAGGGTGGCTCTGCATACCTGGTCACTTGCTGCTGCAGTGACCTGCCAGGACCACGGAGTGGAGTTTGGGGATGGTGTTAGGCTCTTTGAGATTTCAGATATATTCAGTCTTTTAAAAAAAAAAAAAAAAAAAGGACTTCTCAAGATTAATTGCATCATCATCTATATAAATAGAGAAAGTACTTGCTTAACCATATTGGTAAAGTCTTTTCTGACCTTATGGAAGTAACTGGTTTCAAGGGCAGATCATATCCTCCCACTCAGCGATGCCTTTAGCTAGGGCTGTATGCAAAGGCAGAGCAACCAGTCGGTCACCCACACTGTGCTACCGGGAGGCTTCTGACACAGTGCAGCTTCTCTAATACCCTGCACTGCCAAGTCTGCTCTCAAAGGGGCAGTGCCCGGTGAGCACTAATGTCTCAGTGTGGCTGGGCTCCACAGCCACTGAGGACCAGAGTGAGACTGACCACTCAAGGACAGCCAAGAGGAAGAGAGCATCGCTACCTCAGGGCTTGAGAGGTGAGGGGAAGGAGGGTGCGATCAGGGTCCTCCATGGCAGTGGAGGACACAGCTACCACCAGAACTGGGCCGGTCAGAAGAATCAGCACCGCAGCCCCTCCAGTTCCACTCTGCCAAACCCAACTGGAAGTCAGAGGGCCTGAGAGCAAGGAGGAACAGTCCAGAGCACTGAGTCTCCCCAGCAACAGAAAGTGGATCTTAGGATAGTGAGGGGAGTGACGGGATTAGAAAATTCTGCATCCAACAGAGAATCCTGATCTTAGGTAGTAGCCTCCTGGAGGACTTGGGTTGAAGTTTCTGAGGCCAAGTCCAGATGCAGTGGGAAGTTGATTTCATTGGCAAGTATTGGCTTCTAGGTCAGCAGGAGGGTCCCAAAGGCGCCAAAGGGGATATGTGCAAAGTGGGGTGATTGTCAAAATGGAGAGGCTGAGAACCCCTCCTCCCCCAGCAGTCACCATCATTACCAGCAGACAGGTTCCAGGAACACTGGACACACTAACAGTCCCAGTCTGGTCACTATGGCAAGGATACAGACACTTCTGCCCTGAAGGTGGTTCATCACCCACTTTGGGGACATAGTGGGCTTTGGGGACTGCTGCCAGTGGCTTGCATTCACTTTTGTGATGACTCAATTATTAACATGTGGAGGCCTCCCCTTTCCCTTCTCCCCTGTAAGGAAAACAGGTTTGAGAAACACAGATTCACAGACTTCATATTAGTTCAGTCAGAACAAGCATCTCAAACATGGAAATAAGATGGGGTCTCCTATTGCTCATCCCAGATGTTGGCCCAGTAACCCCAGTAACCTAGTGGATTTTGGAGAGGAGTGGGGCTGAAGATGCAGGTGGCCTCACACCAGGGGGACAGACTTGTGCCCCTGTGGAGACAGGACACAGGAGAGCATCCAGCTGGTCCCAGATACTGGTTCTGAACTTCTGATGTAGAGGGGAAGAGAGAGGGCAGAGGGCTCTTGGCAGGCCCCTCTGAGGTGGGAAGGGGAGAGAAGAGGTGGCTTCCCAGTGGAATCCTAGCAGGCTCTAATGTAGGACTCAGAGGGAATTGGGGACTAAAGTAGGAGAAGGTATCCACAGTGGTTCACTCCACCCACCCATCCATCCACCCACCCATCTACCCATCCAATAATTATTCATGGAGGCCTTTGCAGGGCCATGCATAGCCTCCACCTGGGAAACTCACACCTTAAAAGAGACAGAGAAAGCATACAAAGAAGAGTTGAGTAAGGCTGAGTAGGAAGTCCTAAGGGGCCATGATAACAGCCCTGGACAGGAGGCCCTGGGGCCTTTCAGTTAGGGGAGGCAGGTTTGAGAGCAGCACTGTGTTGCAACTGCATTCAGGCATCCACAACCACTTATACCCCAGGGAGGAACAAGGTCTGGGAAGGGAGTTCCCCAGCATTTCCACAATAGCCAGGACTTCAAGTGGCTGAGAAAGGTAGGCTTTCCTGCTTTAACAAAAAGGCTTGGAAGCCATCCCTGTGGTGCAAGTGGTTAAAGAACAGCCCCGGGAAGCTATCTGCAGCCACTGCAACATGAATTCGACCCCCAACCAGGGAGGTGACCCCTGTGGCATAGCAGACCTCTCCTTTCTCACCTGCTGCTCCCCTCAGCAGAGTAGTATTTCAATCAATCTGCCCCACTCTGTCTCTGGTGAATCCTCTCAGCCCCCACCCCCACCACCCGCCCATACCCCTGTTCCTGTATGCATAAATAAATAAATCTTTAAAAAAGGAAAGACAGCTGCTTGGGTATCTAGCAAGCTCACCCAGTTGGAACACCACATTCTGATGCCCGATGGGGTCTTTAGTGTGGCCCTGTCAGTGACAAGGAGGAAGCATTCGGGGACTGTCATCCTCACTGGGTATCCCATATTTCAGATGTCGATGAGTGCGTAAACCCACAGCCCGTGTGCCCCCCGGGAACCACATGCATCAACACAGGTGGAGGCTTCCAGTGTGTCAGCCCAGAGTGCCCCGAGGGCAGTGGCAATGCCAGTTATGTGAAGACGTCTCCCTTGTGAGTATAGCCTGGGCCACACACAGCGTGCCCCTCATCCAGGCCTCCACAGAAAGTGGCTGGGCCGTTTTTCCAAGAAGTTTTTGGGGAAAAGTACAGTTATGTCCAAGGAATGATGAAAGTTGGGGAGCTGGAAGTATGGCTTCTCAGGGCTTCCTTGTGTCTGCACTGAATGCAGTGCTCTGCCCATTGCCCCTGAGAGGAGTAATGTTCCCAGTGTTCCTCTATGGACATGGAGGGTGATGGGACTGCATCCCCCTCAAGGATGTGGGTGTCCCTGCAGGGAGAAGGTTACCACCAGTTTCTCATGTCCCCACAACTAGTCACTTCCATCTCCCACAACTTTACATTCTATCATTCTGCTTTTCTAGTAGCACTAGAGGATTTAACTTCTAGCAACCTCAACCCTTAATAGTTTTGTGAGTCTTTTTTCCAAAAGGTGGGTGATGGACCTTTAAAAATAATGACAGCGAGGACAAAGTGCATGCATTTTTTTCTGAAATAGAATCACAGGGACCCTAGCATAAAAATGAATTGACTGTACAAGTTTAGGTGGTTGAATTGCTTTGGGAGCGATAGCAGATTAGAAACAGTAAGAAAGTCAGTGGCACTGAAGCCTGGGAGCTACAGTGAGAGTGAAGACACCAGGATCTTCCACAGGAGTCACTGGGTGAAAGGACAGGGGACCTGTATGGCCCAACCTTTGGGAACATCACTCATTAACCATGGATGTGATATCAACCTGCATAACCATGGCAATACCATTCACCAAAGAGGCGACATTGAATTTCTCTCTTATGTTTGAGAAGATAGAGAAATATCAAAAACATTTCCACAAGATGCTGGCTCTAGATGACTGGGAAGATGCTTTCTTGATTGGAGAATAAACAGTGGGTGTTAAGAAAGCTCATGTGGAAACCCCACCCCCACCCCAGCCAGTCAGCTAACTGCTGGGGTCCCACCCTGAGAGAAGTCTCAGGCCCTACGGAGAGGCTGACTAGCAGTGTCACTACTGTTAATCTGCCCAGCTTTACTTATCTGTAAAAAGTATAGTAACACTCCCTGCACGTTTACACAGTCACACATGCATGCATGTATGGTTGCTCAGACCACCTCTTCCCTGGTCATGCCCGAAACTAACCTTGCTTACTTGCCTGTGCTGAGGGACCTGAGACCGGGAAGGCCACTTTGGTGGCCTCAAGCAAGTGGTCATCTGGGGCAAACAAGCCAGGTCAAGCACCCACTGGCCAGCTTCCCCAAGGCTGACTCCTCATGT